AACCAGAAATGTGACATATCTGTTAGACAGTTCACACAGTCATCATCCAGGATTACTGTCTTGTCATCTTTTTGGCTAACCACATTGAAACATTCTAATCTTTAAGTACATGAACTGACAAAACAGGTTTAAGCGAAGTACAGTGCCATTGTTATCAGGAAGCTGTCTCCATGGTGATAGGAGGGAAAGGAGGCAGACTAGGGACAAGGGAAGGGCAGCCACCTGAGGTCAATAACTGCCCTACAAAGGCAAATAGCAGTAACTATGCAAACAGCGAAACTGAGAAAAATAGCTTTAAAGGGGCAATCTGCTGTTGCTACATCATTTATTTAAATGTTTATGAATGATATATACCTATTTATTCTAGAAGAATATAACTTATAAATACCTCATGAGTTTAGATCAGAACCCAAAATATATAAGCTTGTTTTACTCCAATGTTTTTAAACAATGTAAATGTAAACAAACACTGTATAGCCTCAAAACATGGTTAAAACTATAATCTTGATATCATGGATGGTCAGTCCTTGTATCCATGGCTTTGTCTATGAATTTGAGAGTTCTCCAGGCCCATCCCTCAACTTTGGCCCTTTTAAAGTGTTTTGGCTGTCCAGAAAAATATATTGTAGGTAGATAAGAGATAATGCACCGAGGGACTATTATCTTATTATGAAGTAATTTTGTATGCATATCAACCATGAACACATGACCTATGACCCCTAAAATGTTGATACTGCACTCTGCCTTTGTATGACCTTAAACAACTATATGGGTAATTCAAACGCAAAGTGCATTATCTAAAATCTAAATGTGTTAAAGGGATAGTTCACCCAAATTACAAAATTACATATTGGTTTCCTTACCCTGTAAGCAGTCTATGGACATAGTATTTATTTTTATTTTTTATTTTTATGACAGCAATCAATGTTTGGTTTTGTTTCCTGGCAACAGGGCCGGCGTTATGGGCGGGCCTTAGGAGGCCTGGCCCGCCCTACCGTACGTCCTTGCCCGTCCAAATAAAATATTAAAATATTGATCATTTATTTGACCCAGTTGCGTGCCGACAGAAAGAAGCATCCATTTCAGATAAAGCGTCCAAGCGAGCAAAACAGCGACCCTCTGTCTCAGTATGTGTAGACCGTGTATCTGATGCTGTCTGGACCAAAAGAGGATGGCATGTCGTACCATTTCTGGCCAGACAACATTAGAGACATGGGCTACACACTGTGTAGTAAGACAGAGGGGCGCTGTTTCGCTTGCTCGGATGCTTTCTCCCGTGAGATAGTTTCAGCGGAGAGGAAGAGGCGAAGCGAGAGGGCTCACTCTCGCCAAAATCTGTCCAGAGTTAACCCAATGTGTTTCTATGAGCATAATATGCAGACCTAAGCTTGTAGCCTGCCTTCCTGCCTTTGGGACAACTAATCCCATTGTTAGGGCAGAGACATGAGCCTCATGTCATTATATACAGATCTCTGGTTTCAGCCTCTTGCGAATTGGAAGGGAAAGTTGCCGGGTGCACACTGTACCAAAATTATACAATTACGACAGTATAGTATCTGAAGATTATGCCTTTGTTAAATGTTTTTCATGAAGAAATGGAATGTGTTTATGTTAGTATCAAGAGGGAATGTTTTAGGTGTAACGCCATATCCAACAGACCGGAAGTGTGTGTGTAGACAGGGGAGACTGGGGATTGGCCAGAAGAGGGAGTTTCATTGTTTATAAATAGGGGGGTTAAACGAAGAAGACGTCAGAACGGCCATGGCAATCGGAGGAGCCGTTCTCCAGGTGTCATGTCACCTGTCATTTATGCTGTAACCTCGTGATTTTAATAAAAGCCTCTAACACGATACAGCATAGACGGACTCTTTGTTGACAGCAATAATGGCCACCATTCACCCGATACGACAACAGCCTAAATAAAATCATTCAAAATACTTCACCAGAGAGCATGACTTCGCCACAATTTTTTTGTTTTTGCTGTGGATTGATACAAATCACAAGTGCCTAGGCCAAGGCCTATTTAGGATGCCCGCAATTTGGGAAGCGTGCGTGGCAAAAGGACTAGCTGATTGAGTTGCGGCTGTCAGTGAAAAGCATAAAAAATATGTGTGAAGATAATGTGTCTTGAGTATAATTGAAAATGTTGCAACAAGAAGAAAGGGAGGGGTGTGTGGCGGATATATGGCATGTCTCTCTCCAGAATGCATGCACTTCAGCAGCTCTCCAGAATGCACTCAGCTGTCTCCCGCCAATTCGTGAGCATTCATTGTTTAATTGTGTGAATTGTTTGCCTTTGTTTATTTTGGATCAATTGCCCATTACATACAGTGGCTTGCGAAAGTATTCACCCCCCTTGGCATTTTTCCTATTTTGTTGCCTTACAACCTGGAAATAAAATGGATTTTTGGGGGGTTTGTATCATTTGATTTACACAACATGCCTACAACTTTGAAGATGCAAAATATTTTCTATTGTGCAAAAAACAAGAAATAAGACAAAAAAAACAGAAACTTGAGCGTGCATAACTATTCATTGAGGTGATGTTGAAGTAGTCAGGCGCAGGAGGGTAAATCACAGAATAACAAGCTTTATTCTGCGAATACAGAGTTACGCGGTAATGCGTTAAAAACACTCCAGTGGGCAAAACAGGCACACTGGAAAATACAAGGCACCCGGGGAAATACAGTGAGGGAAAAAAGTATTTGATCCTCTGCGGATTTTGTACGTTTGCCCACTGACAAAGAAATGATCAGTCTATAATTTTAATGGTAGGTTTATTTGAACAGTGAGAGAGAGAAATACAACAAAAAAATCCAGAAAAACGCATGTCAAAAATGTTATAAATTGATTTGCATTTTAATGAGGGAAATAAATATTTGACCCCCTCTCAATCAGATTTCTGGCTCCCAGGTGTCTTTTATACAGGTAACGAGCTGAGATTAGGAGCACACTCTTAAAAGGAGTGCTCCTAATCACAGTTCGTTACCTGTATAAAAGACACCTGTCCACAGAAGCAATCAATCAATCAGATTCCAAACTCTCCACCATGGCCAAGACCAAAGAGCTCTCCAAGGATGTCAGGGACAAGATTGTAGACCTACACAAGGCTGGAATGGGCTACAAGACCATCGCCAAGCAGCTTGGTGAGAAGGTGACAACAGTTGGTGTGATTATTCGCAAATGGAATAAACACAAAATAACTGTCAATCTCCCTCGGCCTGGGGCTCCATGCAAGAACTCACCTCGTGGAGATGCAATCATCATGAGAATGGTGAGGAATCAGCCCAGAACTACATGCGAGGATCTTGTCAATGATCTCAAGGCAGCTGGGACCATAGTAACCAAGGAAAAAACAATTGGTAACACTACGCCGTGAAGGACTGAAATCCTGCAGCGCCCGCAAGGTCCCCCTGCTCAAGAAAGCACATATACATGCCCGTCTGAAGTTTGCCAATGAAAAATCCAGAAAAACACATGTCAAAAATGTTATAAATTGATTTGCATTTTAATGAGGGAAATAAGTATTTGACCCCTCTGCAAAACATGACTAAGTACTTGGTGGCAAAACCCTTGTTGGCAATCAGAGGTCAGATGTTTTTTGTAGTTGGCCAAATAGGTTTGCACACATCTCAGGAGGGATTTTGTCCCACTCGTCTTTGCAGATCTTCTCCAAGTCATTAAGGTTGAGGCTGACGTTTGGCAACTCAAAACTTCAGCTCCCTCCACAGATTTTCTATGGGATTAAGGTCTGGAGACTGGCTAGGCCACTCCAGGACCTTAATGTGCTTCTTCTTGAGCCACGCCTTTGTTGCCTTGGCCGTGTGTTTTGGGTCATTGTCATGCTGGAATACCAATCCACGATCCATTTTCAATGCCCTGGCTGAGGGAAGGAGGTTCTGTCTCTCTGATATCTGGAGGTCAGACACTGTTTTCATAACTGATGGTTATTTATGACCCAACCCTTCATTCTGGTGTTGTCACTGCAAAGAGGTTAAAAATATGAGTTAAAATGGAAACAGTAACATTCACACTCTATCCATAAGTGGCAGAGAAGTGTCTTATCCTTCTAGATTCCATGTTAATATTAGATCAAGTATAAAACAGAGAGGTGTCTGGTCCTTCTAGATTCCATGTGAATATTAAATAAAGTATAAAACAGAGAGGTGTCTTGTCCTTCTAGATTCCATGTTAATATTAGATCAAGTATAAAACAGAGAGGTGTCTGGTCCTTCTAGATTCCATGTTAATATTAGATCAAGTATAAAACAGAGAGGTGTCTTGTCCTTCTAGATTCCATGTTAATATTAGATAAAGTATAAAACAGAGAGGTGTCTGGTCCTTCTAGATACCATGTTAGATAAAACAGAGTACAGAACAATAATGTACTAGAAAGGAAGTGTCTTTAATCTAGGTTAAATGATTTATTAAAATAGCAGGACGTAGACATTGTTTATGTTCAGTATGATAAAAGCACAAGAAGCAAACATACAGTATATCTGAAACATATACAGTCATTTCAAATGTATTTAGTACTGTAAAACTTAACAGTAATTGATTGACAGCGGCTATTGAATGATATACCCCTATTATACAACTCATTGTTTGACATATTAATAAATGATTGTGTGTCAGCTTGTGTAGAGGACATGTGTCGGTCATGATTGGTTGCTCATGGTCACGTGACGAGGTAGCCCCGCCTGCAACTTCAAAATCAGTGTCTCGGCCCAAAAGGGAATTTCCTCTAACTAAGAGGTTGTTTTCTCCCGTTGGAGACTCAGGTTCAGATCAGTGTGTGTGTGTGTGTGTGTGCGCACGTCTGAATGTGTGTTTGTCTCCTACCTGTAGTTCAGAGTACCATTCTACCAAATCACGCCAGTCTTCAGACCATCATTAACATAAAGTAGATTAATCAGCAGTGCAGATAAATTACCTATGAGAAGCCTCTTTCTCACAGATCCATTCTTGTGAAAATGAACACATATAATCCCTCCATACTCTTTGGCCTGATGACATGTAACAGATTTCCCCACAGTTCTCCGCTCCACCACCATCAGGCTCTCCACTCTCCCAATACCTGCAGTAGAAACAACAGAGTTAGACTGGCCTCTCTCTCAGAACCTAGAGTATGAACAACACAGAGAGTCAGTCCTACTCCTTACACTGTGGTCAGTGTTATTAGAGCAGTAGTCTCTTACCTTGGGGTGGTCAGGTTATTAGAGCAGTAGTCTCTTCCCTTGGGGTGGTCAGTGGTGGTGCCGTCCAACCCATTTCCAGGTCCCCTCAGTAACAGAGTCAGTCAGACCAATCCAGACAAAATAGACTGATTCCAAACCCATTGATGAATGCTGTTGTGGTGGCACAGAAAAAAGCATTGTTAATAATACATGATAAATACAGTAGTTCTCTCTGTCTCTGTCTCTCACCTGTTCCTCTTCACTGTTAATGATCACCAGGTCTGCTCCTCTCTCCAGACAGTCCTGTCTACTCTCAGTCCCAGGATTCTTCTCAGTAGAGAGATAGTAACATCTGCAGCCAAACCTTCTCCATCCTTCAGGACAGGACCCTAGAATTTTGACATTTTTACTATCTTTGACACTCGAATGTTACAAAAAATAATGTATGAAAAATAAAAAAGACAAATTTGCAAATAAAAGCATTCTAATGAATTCTTCCAATGAGCTGATTGAGATGTCACCTTGCAGCTTTAGGTAATAATTCAAATGTTCTGGGGATTTCACAGAGCAATTGTTTGTGTGAATTGCCTGTTTGCCTATAGCTTTTACACTGAACAAAAATATAAACGCAACATGCAACAATTTCAAAGATTCTACTTAGTTACAGTTTATAAGGCAATCAGTCAATATTGCCCCACTCCACATCAATGGCTGTGCAAAGTTGCTGGTTATTGGCGGGAACTGGAACACGCTGTTGCACACGTCGATCCAGAGCATCACAAACATGCTCAATGGGTGACATGTCTGGTGAGTATTCAGGCCTTGGAAGAACTGGGACATTTTCAGATTCCAGGAATTGTGTACAGATCCTTGCTACATGCAGATGAGCTTCCCTGAGACGATTTCTGACAGTTTGCGCAGAAATTATTTGGTTGTGCAAACCCACAGTTTCATCAGCTGTCTGGGTGGCAGGTAAGAAGCCAGATGTGGAGGTCCTGACCTGGCATGGTTACACGTGGTCTGCGGTTGTGAGGCCGTTTGGACGTACTGCCAAATTCACTAAAACGACATTGGAGGTGGCTTATGGTAGAGAAATGAACATTCAATTATCTGGCAACAGCTCTGGTCGACATTCTTGCAGTCACCATGCCAACTGCATGCTCCCTCAAAACATGTGAAGAGTCGTCGTCGTCGGGTGAGGTTGTGTCTCTCTCTGGCGGGAGGTAAGCTTGGCTTATATGGCTTATATACATAGTTTGGGCTTTGTCGAGTAAAGCTTAAACTATGTATTTAGATTGTAGTTAGGTATTGTAGGTAGTTATCGTGGGTTGTTGTATGTAATTATTGTAGGTTAGTATTGTATTCGGCTGAGCCCGGTGAAGCACGAATCTAGCTAACCCACTACCTGGACTAGCTAGCGGGTAGCTACTGGTAAGTATTAGCAACTGTGGATAGTTGTTTCACGCCTGAGAGTACCTGTAATTACGCCAGCTAGCTGCCTACAATAATTACATACAATAATGCCTACCATTCAGCTGTTTTTCTAACCTCATTGTCTGAAGCGTTAACGTTAGGTAGTAAGTGGCTACTGTGCTTGAAATTTAGCTAGCTTGTTGCTACCTGGATAGCTACTAAACAATAGCTGGAACGACCTAGCGAACAGACGCGAACTGGCTGAGTCAATTCAGTGGCTAGCTTTGCACTTGGCTAGCTAACAGTAGCTGCTAGGGGTAAGTTATAACCTACATTTGTGTTTTGTTTTTACATACTGGTAGCCAGAGTCGTTCAAGGGAATTCAGGACATGGGTGACTAGTTAACGTTAGCTTGGCTCTCTCTGTGTGTTCGTGCCGTGGGAGGAGGGGTTTCTTCTTTGTCTGAAAGCAATGGCTAGCTAGTATGCTAACTATTCTAGCTTTCTAGCTAACCCTCCAGTCCCTCGACTTCTTGGCGCTGACGGAAACATGGATTACCACTGAAAACACTGCTACTCCTACTGCTCTCTCCTCGTCTGACCATGTGTTCTCGCATACCCCGAGAGCATCTGGTCAGCGGGGTGGTGGCACAGGAATCCTCATCTCTCCCAAGTGGACATTCTCTTTTTCCCCTGACCCATCTGTCTATCTCCTCATTTGAATTCCATGCTGTCACAGTCACTAGCCCATTCAAGCTTAACATCCTTGTCATTTATCACCCTCCAGGTTCCCTTGGAGAGTTCATCAATGAGCTTGACGCCTTGATAAGTTCCTTTCCTGAGGAAGGCTCACCCCTCACAGTTCTGGGTGACTTCAACCTCCCTACGTCTACCTTTGACTCATTTCTCTCTGCCTCCTTCTTTCCACTCCTCTCCTCTTTTGACCTCACCCTCTCACCGTCCCCCCCTACTCACAAGGCAGGCAATACGCTTGACCTCATCTTTACTAGATGCTGTTCTTCTACTAATCTCACTGCAACTCCCCTCCATGTCTTCGACCACTACTTTGTATCCTTTTCTCTCTCGCTCTCCTCCAACACTACTCACTCTGCCCCTACTCAGATGGTAATGCGCCGTCGCAACCTTCGCTCTCTCTCCCGCTACTCTCTCCTCTTCCATCCTATCATCTCTTCCCTCTGCTCAATCCTTCTCCCTCCAATCTCCTGATTCTGCCTCCTCAACCCTCCTCTCCTCCCTTTCTGCATCCTTTGACTCTCTATGTCCCCTATCCTCCCGGCCGGCTCGGTCCTCCCCTCCTGCTCCGTGGCTTGATGACTCATTGCGAGCTCACAGAACAGGGCTCCGGGCAGCCGAGCGGAAATGGAGGAAAACTAGACTCCCTGCGGACCTGGCATCTTTTCACCCCCTCCTCTCTACATTTTCTTCATCTGTTTCTGCTGCTAAAACCACTTTCTACCACTCTAAATTCCAAGCATCTGCCTCTAACCCTAGAAAGCTCTTTGCCACCTTCTCCTCCCTGCTGAATCCTCCTCCCCCTCCCTCTCTGTGGATGACTTCGTCAACCATTTTGAAAAGAAGGTTGACGACATCCGATCCTCGTTTGTTAAGTCAAATGACACTGCTGGTCCTGCTCACACTGCCCTACCCTATGCTTTGACTTCTTTCTCCCCTCTCTCTCCAGATAAAATCTTGCGACTTGTGAAGGCTGGCCGCCCAACAACCTGCCCACTTGACCCTTTCCCCTCCTCTCTTCTCCAGACCATCTCCGGTGACCTTCTCCCTTACCTCACCTTGCTCATCAACTCATTCTTGACCACTGGCTATGTCCCTTCCGTCTTCAAGAGAGCGAGAGTGCAAAGAGTGCAAAGAGCCTTTGCGTGACCCTGGACAACACCCTGTAGGTTCATGCTCTACAACATTCGGAGAGTACGACCCTGCCTTACACAGGAAGCGGCACAGGTCCTAATCCAGGCACTTGTCATCTCCCGTCTGGATTACTGCAACTCGCTGTTGGCTGGGCTCCCTGCCTGTGCCATTAAACCCCTACAACTCATCCAGAATGCCGCAGCCCGTCTGGTGTTCAACCTTCCCAAGTTCTCTCACGTCACCCCGCTCCTCCACACACTCCACTGGCTTCCAGTTGAAGCTCGCATCTGCTACAAGACCATGGTGCTTGCCTACGGAGCTGTGAGGGGAACGGCACCTCCGTACCTTCAGGCTCTGATCAGTCCCTACATCCAAACGAGGGCATTGCGTTCATCCACCTCTGGCCTGCTGGCCCCCCTACCTCTGCGGAAGCACAGTTCCCGCTCAGCCCAGTCAAAACTGTTCGCTGCTCTGGCACCCCAATGGTGGAACAAGCTCCCTCACGACGCCAGGACAGCGGAGTCACTCACCACCTTCCGGAGACACTTGAAACCCCACCTCTTTAAGGAATACATGGGATAGGATGAAGTAATCCTTCTAACCCCCCTTACACCACCCCCCAAAATGTTTTTTTAAATATATATATATATTGTAAAGTGGTTATCCCACTGGCTATAAGGTGAATGCACCAATTTGTAAGTCGCTCTGGATAAGAGCGTCTGCTAAATGACGTAAATGTAAAGTGACATTTATGGCATTGTGTAGTGGACAAAACTGCACATTATAGAGTGGCCTTTTATTGTCCCCAACACAAGGTGCACCTGTGTAATTATCATGCTGTTTAATCAGCATCTTGATATGCCACACCTGTCAGGTGGATGGATTATCTTGGCAAAAGAGAAATGCTCACTAACAGTGATGTAAACAAATTTGTACATACAGAACATTTCTGGGATCTTTTATTTCAGCTCATGAAACATGGGACCAACACTTTACATGTTGCGTTTATATATTTTTTTCTTCAGTGTATGTGTGACATTTTCACATTAAATGTAACTTTTGCAACTACTATTTAATCACACATTCAATAAGTGAGTAGCTTTGCACGAGCCTTGGCTTGAGAGAGTCCGGAACAGCTCATAGGATCTAGGCTCCTGCTCCTGTTTCTGTAGCGTGACCATAGTCACCAAGAAAACAATTGGTAACACACTACGCCGTGAAGGACTGAAATCCTGCAGCGCCCGCAAGGTCCCCCTGCTCAAGAAAGCACATATACAGGCCCGTCTGAAGTTTGCCAATGAACATCTGAATGATTCAGAGGAGAACTGGGTGAAAGTGTTGTGGTCAGATGAGACCAAAATGGAGCTCTTTGGCATCAACTCAACTCGCCGTGTTTGGAGGAGGAGGAATGCTGCCTATGACCCCAAGAACACCATCTCCACCGTCAAACATGGAGGTGGAAACATTATGCTTTGGGGGTGTTTTTCTGCTAAGGGGACAGGACAACTTCACCGCATCAAAGGGACGATGGACTGGGCCATGTACCGTCAAATCTTGGGTGAGAACCTCCTTCCCTCAGCCAGGGCATTGAAAATGGGTCGTGGATGGGTATTCCAGCATGACAATGACCCAAAACACACGGCCAAGGCAACAAAGGAGTGGCTCAAGAAGAAGCACATTAAGGTCCTGGAGTGGCCTAGCCAGTCTCCAGACCTTAATCCCATAGAATATCTGTGGAGGGAGCTGAAGGTTCGAGTTGCCAAACGTCAGCCTCGAAACCTTAATTACTTGGAGAAGATCTGCAAAGAGGAGTGGGACAAAATCCCTCCTGAGATGTGTGCAAACCTGGTGGCCAACTAAAAGAAGCGTCTGACCTCTGTGATTGCCAACAAGGGTTTTGCCACCAAGTACTAAGTCATGTTTTGCAGAGGGGTCAAATACTTATTTCCCTCATTAAAATGCAAATCAATTTATAACATTTTTGACATGCGTTTTTCTGGATTTTGTTGTTGTTATTCTGTCTCTCACTGTTCAAATAAACCTACCATTAAAATTATAGACTGATCATGTCTTTGTCAGTGGGCAAACACACAAAATCAGCAGGGGATCAAATACTTTTTTCCCTCACTGTAACAGAAACTCAGATTTGTTGTGTGCAAAAATATGTGAACCCCTTCAGTCAATAGCTTGTGGCACCTCCTTTAGCAGCGATAACTTGGACTAAACGTCTCCTATAGCCAGTAATTAGTCTCTGACATCTAATTTGAGGGATTTTTGCGCACTCCTCCTTACTCAGCATCTCGATTGGATTTACATTTTACATTTTAGTCATTTAGGTCAGGACTTTGACTTGGCCAATCCAAAACACAAATCTTCTTTCTCTTGAGCCATTGTTTGGTAGATTTGCTTTTATGCTTTGGGTCGTTGTCTTGTTGGAAGATCCATTTTCGGCCCAGCTTTAGATCCTTGACTGATGGCCTGACCTTCTGTTCAAGAATCTCCTGGTATACCTCAGAATTCATGGTTCCCTTAATGATGTGGAGTTGTCCAGGTCCAGAGGAGGAAAAGCAGCCCCATATCATGACATTCCCACCACCATGCTTGACCGTTGGGTTAAGGTTATTTTAGTGGTATGAGGTGTTGGGTTTTCACCAAACATCGCGGGGTGTTGATTGTGACCAAAAAGGTCAATTCTGGACTTGTTGGTCCAGAGAATGGACTTCCAGAAACCTTCAGGTTTGTCCAAGTGGTCCATGGCAAAGTTAAAGATGGGCAGTTTGGTTCTTTGTTGACAGCAGAGGCTTCTTCCTAGCAACCCTCCCATGAATGGCATTATGATTCAGTAATCTTATTGTTGACGCATGCACAGTTATCTGAGAAGCAGCAAGGGAGGTATGCAAATCTCTAAGATGTTTGGGTTGGCTTTTACCTGATTTATGATTGTTCTTGTGGACCTTGGGGATAAGTCCATCCACTCCTAGGCCGAGTTGCTGTCATGTTAAATGCTCTCCATTTGTAAATGATTTGCCTCAGTGGACTGATGGAGCACCTGATTCTACTTACCTACTTGATTTAATCAATGCAACTTGGGGTTCACTTATTTTTGCACCTGCACTAATTCCTTTTAAATTGTGTTTTTCTACTACACGCATGATTTCCTCTACACCAACATATGGTATTGGGAAATATAAACCTGTTATGTCAGATAAAAAAAGACTGGTTCTGATTAAATTAAGATTTCATAGTAAAAACAGAAAAATCTGTAATTGCACAAGGGGTTCACATACTTTCAAGCAGCACTGTATGTCTTGCGTCTGTGTAGTTGTGCATATACCTTTGCACTTTCTCCACATTTTGTTACGTTACAGCCTTATTCTAAAATGTGTTAAATTGTATTTTTTTTACCTCATCAATCTACACACAATACCCCATAAATGACAAAAGGGAATACATTTTTTTTTGTGACATTTTTGCTAATTTATTTAAAATAAAAAACAGATATCACATTTACATAAGTATTCACACCCTTTACTCAGTATTTTGTTGAAGCACCTTTGGCAGCGATTACAGCCTTGAGGACATTCAGAGACTTGTCCCGAAGCCACTCCTGCATTGTCTTGGCTGTGTGCTTAGGGTGGTTGTCCTGTTGGAAGGTGAACCTCGCCCCAGTCTGAGGTTGTGAGCACTCTGGAGCAGGTTTTCATCAAGGATATAAGCACTTTACTCCGTTCATCTTTGCCTTGATCCTGACTAGTCTCCCAGTCCCTGCCGCTGAAAAACAACCCCACAGCATGATGCTGCCACCACCATGCTTCACCGTAGGGATGGTGCCAGGTTTCCTCCAGATGTGACACTTGGCATTCAGGCCAAAGAGCTCAATCTTGGTTTCATCAGACCAGGCAATCTTGTCTTCATGTGCCTTTTACTGAGGAATGGCTTCCGTCTACTATAAAGGCCTGATTGGTGGAGTGCCTCAGAGATGGTTGTCCTTCTGGAAGGTTCTCCCATCTCCACAGAGGACCTATAGAGCTCTGTCAGAGTGACCATCAGGTTCTTGGTCACTTCCCTGACCAAGGCCCTTCTCTCCCGATTGCTCAGTTTGGCCGGGTGGCCAGATCTAGGAAGAGTCTTGGTGGTTCCAAACATCTTCCATTTAAGAATGATGGAGGCCACTGTGTTCTTGGGGACCTTCAATGCTGCAGACATTTTTTGATACCCTTCCCCAGATCTGTGCATCGACACAATCCTGTCTCGGAGCTCTGCAGACAATTTCTTCGACCTCATGGCTTGGTTTTTGATCTGACATGTACTGTCAACTGTGGGACCTTATATAGACAGGTGTGTGCCTTTCCAAATCATGTCCAATGAGTATAATTTACCACAGGTGGACTCCAACCAAGTTGTGGAAACATTTCAAGGATACATTTCGAGTCTCATAGCAAAGGGGCTGAATTCTTATGTAAATATGGTATTTCTGTTTTTTAATTTTTTATAAATTGGCAAAAAAATTCTAAAAACCTGTTTTCGCTTTGTCAAGGGGTATTGTGTGTAGATTGCTGAGGATTTTTTCTTTATTTAATCCATTTTAGAATAAGGCTGTAACGTAACAAAATGTGGAAAAAGGGGTCTGAATACTTTCCGAAGGCAATGTACAGTTGAAGTCGGAAGTTTTACATACACTTAGGTTGGAGTCATTAAAACTCGTTCTTCAACCACTCCACAAATTTCTTGTTAACTAACTATAGTTTTGGCAAGTCGGTTAGGACATCTACTTTGTGCATGATACAAGTAATTTTTTCAACAATTGTTTATAGACAGATTATTTCACTTACAATTCACAGTATCACAATTCCAGTGGGTCAGAAGTTTACATACACTAAGTTGACTGTGCCTTTAAACAGCTTGGAAAATTCCAGAAAATGATGTCATGGATTTAGAAGCTTCTGATAGGCTAATTGACATCATTTGAGTCAATTGGAGGTGTACCTGTGGATGTATTTCAAGGCCTACCTTCAAACTCAGTGCCTCTTTGCTTGACATCATGGGAAAATCAAAAGAAATCAGCCAAGACCTCAGACATTTTTTTGTAGACCTCCACAAGTCTGGTTCATCCTTGGGAGCAATTTCCAAACGCCTGAAGGTACCATGTTCATCTGTACAAACAATAGTACGCAAGTATAAATACCATGGGACCACGCAGCCGTCATACCGCTCAGGAAGGAGACGCGTTCTGTCTCCTAGAGATTAACGTACTTTGATGCGAAAAGTGCAAATCAATCCCAGAACAACAGCAAAGGACCTTGTGAAGATGCTGGAGGAAACAGGTACAAAAGTATATATATCCACAGTAAAACGAGTCCTATATCGACATAACCTGAAAGGCCGCTCAGCAAGGAAGAAGCCACTGCTCGAAAACCGCCATAAAAAAGCCAGACAACGGTTTGCAACTGCACATGGGGACAAAGATCGTACTTTTTGGAGAAATGTCCTCTGGTCTGATGAAACAAAAATAGAACTGTTTGGCCATAATGACCATCGTTATTTTTGCAGGAAAAAGGGGGTCGCTTGCAAGTCGAAGAACACCATCCTAACCGTGAAGCACAGGAGTGGCAGCATCATGCTGTGGCGGTGCTTTGCTGCAGGAGGGACTGGTGCACATCACAAAATAGATGGCATCATGAGGAAGGAACATTATGTGGATATAGCAGCATCTCAAGACATCAGTCAGGAAGTTAAAGCTTGGTCGCAAATGGGTCTTCCAAATGGACAATAACCCCAAGCATACTTCCAAAGTTGTGGCAAAATGGCTTAAGGACAACACAAAACCCTGACCTCAATCCTATAGAAAATCTGTGGGCAGAACTGAAAAAGCGTGTGCGAGCAAGGAGGCCTACAAACCTGACTCAGTTACACCAGCTCTGTCAGGAGGAATGGGCAAAAATTCAGCCAACTTATTGTGGGAAGCTTGTGGAAGGCTACCCGAAACGTTTGACCCAAGTTATACAATTTAAAGGCAATGCTACCAAATACTAATTGAGTGTATGTAAACTTCTGACCCACTGGGAATGTGATGAAAGAAATAAAAGCTGAAATAAATCACTCTACTATTATTATTTCTTAAAATAAAATGGTGATCCTAACTGACCTAAGACAGGGAATTTTTACTAGGATTAAATGTCAGGAATCGTGAAAAACTGAGTTTAAATGTATTTGTCTAAGGTGTATGTAAACTTCCGACTTCAACTGTATGTGTTTATTTATCTGTATTTAAAACAGGGCTGTCCTTACCTTTGATATTCCAGTTCAGCCTTTCTATCTCCTTCTGTAGCTGGTCACGCTCCATAGTTCTAGTGTTCAGACTATTCTGTAGCTGGTCTCTCTCTGTGGTAATGGTATTTAGACTATTCTGTAGCTGGTCTCTCTCGGTGGTCCTGGTATTTAGACTATTCTGTAGCTGGTCTCTCTCTGTGGTCCTGGTATTTAGACTATTCTGTACCTGGTCTCTTTCGGTGGTCCTGGTATTTAGACTATTCTGTAGCTGGTCTCTCTCGGTGGTCCTGGTATTTAGACTATTCTCTAGCTGGTCTCTCTCGGTGGTCCTGCTATTTAGACTATTCTGTAGCTGGTCTCTCTCGGTGGTCCTGGTATTTAGACTATTCTGTAGCTGGTCTCTCTCGGTGGTCCTGGTATTTAGACTATTCTGTAGCTGGTCTCTCTCGGTGGTCCTGGTATTTAGACTATTCTGTAGCTGGTCTCGCTCTACAGTGGCATCTATAAAAGGGAAAAGTCAATCAAAATGTGTAACTGTCACAACATTGATTACAAATGTTTTAGTAAAAAAATTAAACAAACTTACAAGAACCCCACAGGCCTATGATCACAGCCAGTAGAACACACACTGCAGCAACTCTGGAGGGTCTCTTCCACCACTGAACATGTACTGAATCACAAATTATTAAAGTAAGATCTTTGGTAATGTGTTAATGTGTTTTACTTGTATCATCAGTGCTTTATTTGAGCTGCGGGAACAGGATCCGGCACCTCTCCATTTTGGACTGATGCGTTACAGAACCTATTTGGCCGGATCCGCTACCTTTCGTAGCATGAAAAATAATTGTTACTGTTTGCAATGTAGAAATTATGATTAAAGACCTCAAAGTATCCTCGTTAATTCTCCTGCCCCCTAAAAAAAATGCAATGTGAAAATGTCGATTTTCAGCCCGCGCCTGATATTCTGAGAATACTAAACTTTTAACTACTTATTACACATGATGTTATTTCTAAATGGTTCACCCGATATGGATGAAAATACCATCAAATTAAAGCTGACGGTCTGCACTTTAACCTCAGTCATGATTTCAAATCCAAACTTTTTGAGTATAGAGCCATAAGAAGAAATGCTGCACTGTCGAGGACACTAGGTAGGGGTAAGGTAGAGGAAGGTAGCCTTGAGGTTACAGTGTTGGGCCTGTAACCGAAAGGTTGCTGGTTCGAATGCCGGAGCGGACAAGCTGAAAAATATGTTGCTGTGCCCTTGAGCAAGGCACTTAATCTGAATTGCTCTAGGGGCACTGTGCATTGGAGCCATTGTGATCATTGTCAAGAAGCCGCACCCATCCCATTCGCGTTCAGAGTGAGAAAGTAAAGGCTATAGAGAAATAATTACGCTCTAATGATGAGGATTTCTATCATCTTTAACAGGAGGAAAAGTAGAATATTAGTCAAAGTAGAAAATATACTGTACCTTTACATCCCATGCTGACAAATCCATTATGATTAGTTCAGTCATTTTGATAACTAGTTAAAAATAAATAAACTTTGACACCAGACATAATACTTTAGTAGGGTACTTCCTTACCTGTGGTGAGGGTTGTTGACACCAGTTGACTTTGCTTTCCATTTTCCAGCACAGTGCAGACAGTGACAGAGTACTGAGTACCACCTTGCAGGTCAGAGAGAGTGATGCTGTGTGAAGATGTGGTAGTGATGTGTGGTTCTGTCCCTGGACAGTGGTAGGAGATCTGGTAATGATGTTGGGTTTGGTCCAATCCTGGTGGCTGGCTCCAGCTAACAGCAGCTGATGTGGTGTCCACTGAGTCAACAGTCAGCTGGTCTGGAGCAGGAAGTACTAAGTGAAAACACATTATTGTCAGTGTTACAGTTTAACTCCAGAAATAAACTGCACTAAGAAAAGTAAAATAGTAGTCAAAGTAGAAAAGGCAGCCTTGCAATTATTTTAGGTTTGGGAAGAAATAAGCTAAAAAACAGAAGTCACACAACAAAAGTTGAATTCGTAAAGTAACAAAAATAAAGGGTTTCTGCTGTATTCATTTAGCAACGGTGCTGTGCTGCTAAATTGTTGCCGCCACTCCAAAAAATATATAAATAGAAATTAAAATGTGATTATAAATCCTCTCCACAATAACAAGTGTTTAACACTGTACTACTGATAAAGTTAAAGCAAGCAGAGGCAGATCAACTCCTTGACTTAATGACTCACAGGAATGGAAGAAAGCATGAATTCAGTTACTGTACTATAAACAACGTTTAATGATTTCAGCACCAAACTGCATTACAACATCTGGGGAATTTACCATCATATATTTCTCATCAGGGAAGATACTGTACCTTAACATCCCATGCTGAATGTTACGGGTTTCGGTTTCTCGATCCAATTCGAGGTTGACTAGGTTGGGCGCTCTGATTGGAGTCACCTCATTAGTCAGTATGCGTTACAGCTATGCTGGCCCTTTAAGAGCTGCTGGCCCTTTAAGAGCTGCTGGCCCTTTAAGAGCTGCTGGCCCAGTGCATCAATTGGAGAGATGTTGGGAGAGCAACACCTCATGTTAGGGCGGCCATGGCATTTAGCCAGAAACTCCTGTTTATTTAGCTCCATATCCTTTTCACTCCAGATCCTGAGTTGGTGTGGTTTTGTCTTTTAGTTTGTCTTTTTGGAGGTAAACCTTAGTGGGCATCCATGGTGGGTGTCTTTCAGAACCCCTTACTAGTGGCTTTGCCATCTCTCAGTGGGCACCCCCATGGTGCCTTTCAGAACCCCTTTTGAACCCATTTCTGTTTTTGGTTTGGTTGCTGACGTGATTATCTTTGTTAGTTCCCTTTTCTGTGAGTGATGACATTGTGTTTGTCTTTTGGGAACGTAACACTGACACATCCATTATGATTTGTTAATTTACCTTAGTCTGTTTTGATAACTAGTCAAAGTTTGACACCAGACATAATACCTCAATACCTGTGGTGAGGGTTGTTGACACCAGTTGACTTTGCTTTCCATTTTCCAGCACAGTGCAGACAGTGACAGAGTACTGTGTACCACCTTGCAGGTCAGAGAGAGTGATGCTGTGTGAAGATGTAGTAGTGATGTGTGGTTCTGTCCCTGGACAGTGGTAGGAGATCTGGTAATGATGTTTGGTTTGGTCCAATCCTGGTGGCTGGCTCCAGCTAACAGCAGCTGATGTGGTGTCCACTGAGTCAACAGTCAGCTGGTCTGGAGCAGGAAGTACTAAGGGAAAATAGATTATTGTCAGGGCTATAGTTTAACTCCAGAAATATATTACAGGAGGATTACAGCTTGCAATTCCTTTTGATATGGAAAGAAATAAGGTTTAAAAAAAGTCATAACAAAAAAAAATTGTTCTGCAATGTTGAAAATCCAAATAACAAGGTGTGGATACCAAAAGTTGTTTTCAATTTCAACTTATTTCAGAAGAAATTGGGAATTATTTAAGAGCTGAGTCAAAGATCCATTTTCAGAAGCTCTGTGCACAGGCATAAAAACAGGTCTTTTACTTTAAACAAAAGTCCACTGAAGTTAGACTTTGTCCTATTCTGTTCACAAGCTAGGTTGTTTTTCAATGTTTGAGTTTCAACTGCTAGGGAAGGGAAGACTATGCTTCTACTAATCAGACTCGATCTCACAGGCACAAACAGGGTTGGCAGGTCAAGCTAAAATTTCCAGCCCAATGACCACTCAAAACCCACACAAAGGCCTGAAAACTAGCCCCATTTGTTTTTTCACAGCAAGGGATGAGTTGCCATATTTATACAATAAACCCTTTTCTCATAACGCTAGAGACAATTAAGAATAAATATATTACTACAATTCGGGTTTCCTCAAAATAATAATTATTGCAAGCTATGACATGACATAATAAAGGAATTTGAATATGTGACAAGAGAAAAGATAATTTGCCCTTAAACTCACCAGATCATTTTCCATCAACGGATGTCGATTTAACTTGTTTGACTGCTATGATTAAGCAATAAGACATAAGGGGGTATAGTATCTGGCCAATATACCAAGGCTAAGGGCTGTTTTTATGCATGACACAACACGGAATACCTGGATAAAGCCGTTAGCCGTGGTATATTAGCAATATACCACACCTGCTTCGGCCTTATTGCTTAATTATCCCACCGCTTTCAGCCAATCAGCATTCAGGGCTGGAACCAGGTTTATAATTGTAAATAAATATCCTTTGTGCATGTGTTTAACTATAGATAAATCCGACAGGAGAGTTTGAGTGATGAAAGTTGGACAGAAGATCTTGAAATCTCTGAACAAGATACACTTGTTTCTGGCAATTGTGCTGTTATTATGTGCCAGATGTTAAGACTACAAACCGTTATAAATGGCCCATTTTACGAGATTGACTTGTCATTTCAATAGGCATAGGCCACAGACTAAAATCTGGGTTTATGATTGTAATTTAATTTCATCATGGTTTGCTTAGATAAAGGCAGGTAGCCTATATCCCCTTGTAGGCCTACATCTCATTTCAGGTAGTCTAAAGTAGCCTAGACAAGATGTAGGCATGATGTAAACAACCATTTACCAGCTTGGTTAATTCAAATTAACAGACTAATTTATTAAACATGAATAGCGAGGCGATTTAGAGGTAAGAAGTGCTTGTTTCTCCCAATAGCCTGCTGGAATACACTACTGAGGAGGGGGTCATAATTTCAATCACTGAATTAAATATTAATAATATGTACATTAACTGAATATGCTTGTCAACAACAGCCAGTGTTTATTTTTTAGAATGTGTCTTACCTGTAGCCTAATCTGACTACTGTTACCATAACAACTACTGTTCATAACAACACAAGGCTACTACAACAACAAACTGAAGTTATTGGCTATTTATTAAATTGGTTTGCCAGCTCCAGGTAAGCTACACAAGTTACACGAATTGATTTGCAATGACTCCAGTGATATCGTCATTTCAACATATTTATTGTATCAACTAGTAGCCTACAATGGCATATACATTAATAAACTACTTGATGGCCAACAGAGGCAAATGTATCACTCTCCACATTAGCCTAATGTCAGTTTCATTAAAACTTTTCCCCATAAAAAGAACCATTCAAGGGAGTTCCATAACTTACATTTCAAAGTTCCACTCTGCAGCCCCCGAAACCCAAGAACTGAGCATGCATGAAGCACTTCGCTTGATACCGTTTTCTTTACGCAGTCAACATTAGAATGTAGTTTAAACCACCACAGAGCAAGAGCGAATTCATGTATTGCGCCCAAAGTAGTTTTCCAGTGCTTTGTCTCCATTATTTATTAATGTGCATCAGTTCTAGCCTATTAATATGTTTTATAGGAAAAGGGTTGTGAATAGGTGTCTCCATAATGACAATCTAAATAGAATACCTTACAACTGGTAAAAAGTTGTCACAACGTGCGCGCGTGCTGCTCTCTCTCCTCTCGCTCACGTGACTCAGCCAATAACTGTATCTCAA